ACAAGGACATTTACTTATGAGGAAGTTTGCTGCTTGGACATGAGTTGTGATAAGCATTTGCAACCTGAGGGGGATGGATGATTAACCATATGCTTATGCACCAAAGATACAATAGGAGAGAGACAGTCTATCAGTCACGTGAATTGTGATTGGCCTGTTGCAATGGAATAGCCTTTAACAAAAAAAATGAAAGCTATTTACCTTCTGAATGGGTTTTACATATTGCACAAAAGGGAAAAGAAAGAAGAAAAGAGGAGAGAAGAGAACAGAACAGAAGAGAAAAGTTCCCACCAGCTTTTCCCCTCCAAAATTAGCATTGGCATTGGTGAAGTCACACACAAAGGAAAGTCTCACTTTCTTTGTGCCTCTCACAATGACATCAACATGCATGGCTATGAGATGACGAGAGAATACCTCACTCAGAATGAGTAACAAATTAGAATTTTCTTCAAAGTAAAAAAATGGTAACACAAGACCATCATAGGTATATGCTAGCTCTTTCAAAACATCTCTTTTTGGCTAGATGTCAGTTAAAATCATATGACTGGCAATCTGTTCTATCTAATACAACACAGGGAGATATTCTGAATAGGCTGAAGAATGTCTACTATGCAACTTGGCTGGAATATCTGCCAAAAATGAAGTTGTCTCTGTTTTCAACATGGTTATCTACTTTGAAATTACTCCATAGAATGAATAGTGATATTCCATGGGTAGAGGTAGATTATGGGGTTTACATAATCAAATTGGAGCCCCGTAACTTTATGTGCTATAGGAGGATTCTCATAAAACTGAGATATTCCCATAATTAACCACTAGCCATGGGATACTACAATATATTCCATGGTGACTAGTATTTTTTCCATTTCCCTCCCCACTCCCCGTAGAATTAGTATGATTAATTTTGCTCTGGTTTCACTATTGCTAATATGAATCTCTATAATTAAAAATAAGAATACCATATTATGAGGTGATCACTGTTTAGGCCAAATTGGCCAGTAATGACGAGTCGGACCTTTTCTGGTTGGCATTTGCTGATAGAAGGTTGAAAGAGCTGTAACTCACCAACCCATACTTGCAAAAGGAGCATGTTTTAGAAAATGTGGTTCAAAACTCTTCATAGTTCTAAATGCTAAATTCTAGTGGAATATTATAGAATAGATTGATTTGCATGCCATGGAATAAACATCCTTACATCTAGTCTTGTCTCAGAGTGAGTCATTTTGCATTAGTGTCAAGAATTTGAGTTGTTGTTCTACTTTGCAGCTAAGCATCAGAAAGAGACGGGATTGTCTCATGAATATGCATGATGGTATAGTTGTCCCTTCAACTTACTAGGCACCTAGTTTCTGTAATGAGATGTACAATATCTGCCATTTAAAACAGCTGAAAGGTCCCAAATGGGAACAAATGAGAAAGCATCTGGCTGTTTCGAATTCCAGCCCTGTTTTGTCAGAAAACTCTGTAATTGCTCAGTACTTGGCTCCTACTCTGCTCTATGAAGCATTCAGCTCTCAGGAGCCTCTGAGATGCATTACACAGTCCAGCAACATAGCTGTAGAACTCTCAAAATTCTTCCACTAGATGTAACAGCTCTTCAAAATATCTTGAGATTTGTATGCCCTTAACCAGGACCAAAGTTTGGGCTCCTAGAGCTTGCTCTCATCCTTAGTTTTGCTGATCAGCCTCCACTATACCATTTGTCCCTGCAACCTAGACTTCACACATATTATTCACTGTGTGATGGTGGGACTAGAATGGATAAATGTGCTACCCATTGCTCTAAGAAAGCAGTCTGGCTGAATCTTAAATCACTACACGGGATGGAGGTTAACGGTCAGATGGACATTCCTCTAAGAGGTTTCCTACCTGCTCTGTTAATTTCTAAAATTTCTTCTTGGGCCAGTGGGCAAGTGTCGCTCTGAGTACTGTGATGTGGAGAGTTTACGACAGATTTACAATAATTGGGGGATCCCAGCTGGGGTGGCCTCGGGATATGCTTCTTTTTTTTCTTTGGTAGCTTCTGCTTAGCCATAGCTAAGGAGTAATACATTCCGAAATTGTTCACAATGACAGGGACAGGCATGGCAATGGTCAGCACACCAGCGAGAGCACAGAGGGCCCCCACCAGCATGCCTGACCAAGTCTGAGGATACATGTCTCCGTAGCCCAGGGTCGTCATGGTGACAACAGCCCACCAAAAGCCGATGGGGATATTTTTAAAGTGTGTGTGTTCACTGGCACTAGGGTCATTTGGTTTAGCACCTATTCTCTCGGCATAATAGATCATCGTGGCAAAGATTAAGACGCCCAATGCCAAAAATATGATGAGCAGCAAGAATTCGTTTGTGCTGGCGCGGAGGGTGTGTCCCAAGACTCGCAACCCAACGAAGTGGCGGGTCAGCTTGAAAATTCGCAGGATTCGCACGAAACGGACTACGCGGAGGAAGCCCAGGACATCCTTAGCAGCTTTGGAAGACAGGCCACTGAGTCCAACCTCTAGATAGAAAGGCAGTATGGCCACAAAGTCAATGATGTTCAAAGAGTTTTTGATAAATTCCACCTTGTTTGGGCAGAAAGTGACTCTCATCAAAAACTCAAATGTAAACCAGACCACACAGACACCTTCGATGTAGGTGAGAAAGGCTTCAGTCTCTGCTTCCCTGTAGTGCCGCACCTGGGTGTCATTCCCGATGAATTCAGTTTCTGTCTTGTTCACAATGGGGTTAAATCTCTCATGGGTCTCGAGGCAGAAGGTGGTGATGGAGACCAGAATGAAGAAGAGGGAGGCAAATGCCACATACTGTGGGAAGAAAGATATGAGATAAATGTTAAACAGTAAGTTAAATACAGGGGCTTTTCTTCTGAAACACTGGGGAGAGACAAGAGCTGTATTAGAACTAAAGATAATGCCAAGCCTTCTTCCTGTGGGCTGAAGATGCCACGTCTCACCTGCAAAGACAGCCTAACATTAAAACTTGGAGGGAGAGCAGTACATGAGTACATGTTAACATTCATTCCTATACAGATAGCACTTCAGTGTGAGTGTAAATTTAAGGAAGCGTTTAAATCTCAGAGCTTTCTGTGGGATTTAAGGTTGAGGACATATTGAAATTCCACCTTCCTGACTTGGTCTTCTGTTATTTCCTGATCTTAAAAATAGAGCACGCCTTCTAGGGCAATTGTCATACAAGAGTCTTTTTGCAGCATTTTGTCAATGGTGCTAGTAAATACTAGTGGCAGTCTCAGGTGGACTGTACAGCAAGGAGTGCTTGGCAATGTCAGGCTTTCTTGCCAAATCCCAGGGACAGGTTGAGGAACAGTCACATATCAAACTGAGCTCTCCTACAGTAAACATCATCTTTGTTCTCAATTTCCTTCTCCAGATCTTTTGGGGTGGGGGACAGGGAGAGGAAGAAAGAGGTTTCAGGTAAGCCTGTAAGCTAAGCCAAAAAGAGACAGGTTTATTGGATTTTACCAGACAAAGTTTTTTTGAAGAGATTCTCATTACAATGTAAGACTTGTACCAGAACTAGATGCATATTTTTTAAGGCTGTTGGATTACAGTTTGGTTAATCAAGTTACATTGAAGGTGGTAGCAACCCCCAAAGTCAATGGGAGTTAGGATATTACATTGAAGGTGGTAGCAACCCCCAAAGTCAATGAGAGTTAGGAATATTTAGGTATTAGGTACTAGTATTTAGTATTTAAATCTTAGGAGTATTTGCCTCCTCTGCTTCAGTTCCTGCTTTTCACGGAATCATAGAATAGTTTGGGTTGGAAAGGACCTGTAAAGGTCATCTGGTCCAACCCACCTGTAATGAGCAGGGACATCTTCAACTAGATCAGGTTGCTCAGAGCCCCATCCAACCTGACCTTGAATGTTTCCAGGGCTGGGGCATCTACCACCTCTCTGCGCAACCTGTTCTAGTGTTTCATCACTCTCATTGCAAAAAATTTCTTCCTCATATCTGGTCAAAATCTGCCCTCTTTTAGTTTAAAACCATTACCCCTTGTCCTATCACAACATGCCCTGCTAAAAAGTCTGTCCCCATCTTTCTTATAAGCCCCCTTTAAGTATTAAAAGGCCACAGTAGAGGCTCCCCAGAGCCTTCTCTTCTCCAGGCTGAACAACCCCAACTGTCTTAGCTTTTCTCAGGCTTTCCTCAGCCTAAAGGAGATTTCGTGGCTGTATTCCAGGATAATTGAGGGGTACAGTCAGGCCAAAATTCACAACTCTTATAACCACAGTTTCCCTGCTCAATCCTCCTTTAATCAATTAGGTAGCTTGCATATATCTATGAAGTCTCTTTGTGTGTTGAAGTGGTACAGTAATGGTAATACCTCTTTCCATTTCACTCCCTACATCTATTTTCTTTCTATTTGTCTTGTGTGTCACCTTGACAAGAGACGTCACATAAGATATTATTTTGCTGTCTTCATTAGCATGAGCAACTGTGGTAATTAAAATATTACTCAAATATTCCTATAGTGTCCTGTTATTCACAATGTCCCTTTTTCAGCAAATCAACCAAATTAGAGGTTAGAAAGAACTAGTTTCTTCTGATTGTCTGTTGCCAGTAAATGTCATGCAATAATCTAAAAGAAATGGCTGCCAAAGGAATAGACCACTTAAAAATAACCTGTGCTTCAAGCTACCAAAGCTTTCCTGCAATCAAGAATTTGTCTGCTTTCCTGGGTAGACCTACTGCAGAATTACACTTGACCTGTATTAGCAAACAAAGTCAAAAGCCAGGATTTGCCATAGTTTGAGATGAACCATTTAATAGAATACAGAAAAACTGGCAGAGGATAAAATCACAAAATTGTTTAGGTTGGAAGGGTCCTCTACAGGTCATTTCATGCAACTTGCTCAGGTCTGAGTTGTCCGGTCCAGGTCTGAATTATCTCCAAGGTTGGAGATCCCACAGCTTCTCAGGGCAGCTTATGCCAGAGTTTGGCCAATAAGAGCAAATAAGCTTGGAATGCTATAGAAACAGACTCTTCTGCTTTTCAAATCCAACTTCATTGACAGAGAGATCAGAATGTAGCCATTGTTACAGATTTTAAAAAATGCAGTACCTTCCTCTAAATTCTTCAGGCTATCATACTTTGTTATGAAGTGATCTAATATACATGCTGATATGTGCTAAAATCAATGTCTAATATAAATAGTTGTCTGGAAGATAAACAATCTGGAGGTTTAGGGAAATTGAGAAGCAGGTCTGCAGGTATCTTTTTATCAGATTCTCCTTTTAAACAGGGAAATTTCTCCATGCACATTTTCTCCATCTGTAAAATAGGTTAAAAAAAATACCAGCTGGTGTTTGTCATGTGTTTGTGATCCTAGATAAATGTGTACGGGTTCTACAGGGTTTCATTTTAATGTTGCTGACTTCAGTGTATCAACAGTCTCCCTGAAAAAACAAGTTGAAGAGTCTTTGAAGTGGTCAAAGTCAGTTTGTGTATGATATTGTTAACACTCGGAGCTTAATTAAGTTGAGTTTAATACCCCAATTGTCTGAGTAAAACGAGAAAGAAAAAACATCATGCACTAACAACTCAGGAAAATGTTCCCAGCAGCCTCAGCATGTCTGCTCTATTTCAGCCCGGAGCAGATTTTTCCCATAGAGTCATAGAGCCCTGAGAATTCAAACTGCAGAAGGAAATGCTGACACTTTGTTAAGTCAGGTAGCACTCACAGATAAGAAGCAGAGAGAGTAGTAAAACCATTTTGCATTTTAAGGGGTCTGTGAAGAAGGCCCCTTTCTTTATGCTGACTCAAAATGCAATTCTCCTCTTGGTGTATATGAATGTCCCTCCTAAGTGAGTTTTTCCTGCTTAGGGCAACCTTGAGGCTGACCTTGCACAGCAATATCTTGAAAAGTGATGTTTTGCTGTATTAAAGGGAAGAAATAAACAATTCTGACAGGACATTTAAGTTCTTTGCAGTGAGACATGCAAGCAGTGTTATCAGTAGAGAACATCACACCAATGATCCCTCTTGCTGTTAGCCCTTGTGTGTGCACACCTTAGCTTTAGAGGGGTATTGAAAACTTTTAGTCACTAGTTCAACAAAGCAGGAAGCACCTGCTAAATGAACGTGAAGTGTTTGCTTCCTTCTCTTTGTATTTAACAACATCCAGAGCCCTTTCTCAAGGATGGGCATGTTCTTGAATGCTTTGCAGCTTTGGAAGTGTGGGTCTGCTTTCAAGATTTCATAAAACCATGTCTGAGCAATGGATTGACAGGAAGGATCCCAGTATTTCTTCTCCTTTCTTTTTTTTTTTTCTCTGTTCAATGACTATCTAATTCTAAAACCTATTTTATATTTGGGAAGTAAAAATGCTTCTTAGTCATTCCGTGCTTCAATATTGAAAGGCCCTTGTTTTTTGTTTTAGAAGAAAGTCTGCACAGACTGAAAGGAGAAGAAAGTGGAGAGCAGCCTTTTAATTAAGGTCTCGTTACAGTTCCCCAGCCCCTTGGCTGGTCTAAAGAAGGGTGGAAATACTTGAGAGTCAGGCCTGACAATTTATTCACTGGCACCCATGTCTGATATATTTATCACCTGCAGCTGCTTGGGATGCAGAAATTTAGAAGCTTGCCACAAATGAATATGGACTGTATCATTGGCATAGCTTCATGTTCGTGATCCCCAATTTATATTGCCCCCACCCCTTTGTTCTTCTGAATATTTTTTGTTGTTAATTATCTGATATAAGATCTAGCCAGCTGTAAGCAAAATCCAATAGCACCCAATTCAGTAAGTATGTTTTTCTAAGGAGACCAGCATTCATTCATGCCAAAGGGGTCGAAAAAAGATTGCGCTCTGGCCTGCTGTCGGAGACCAAGAGAGATCACCCATCATGCCGAACATGATAGCTTGTCAAGTCCAGAGAAGAGCAATGCTGGTAAAATCTAGTGAAGACTGTGCAACTCGTATGTGCTCTAATGTCTTTGAAAATAAGGCTATCTCTTTTTATTTCACCAATAATGGCCTGAACACTAATCAAACCAATGGATCGCTCTTGTATTATTTAATGGTTCTTAATCTCCTTTCTCCTTACATTTTACAACAGAATTTCTCATCTCCTAGGATCTGAATGGGCTGGGGGAAAGGAGTGAGAATTTAATGAAGTGATGTCATGTGCTGTTGAGTTATATAATGGCAGCTAAAATTTTCTATAATTAAAGAAAATACCTGGATAAAGTGTTTGAAGTGATCAAAACTCTTTTATCTGCTTTGACACATATGAGTGATTCCTATTTCATTAGAGATGCTGCTGCTATTGCTTTTTTCTGGCTCTAACACCAACAAAGAAAAATCTCAGATTGTCCAAAACCATAGAAGCCATAAGAAAAGGCAGAGAGGAGATTTTAAAAGAGGATATTTTGATTAAAATGTAAGTTACATTAAAATGTTTTCGTTCTGGAGAGAGAAGAAATTACACTCCTTCATAATTTCTGTTAATAATAGATATATTTTAATAAGGTTCTTTTGAAAGAGTCTAAAAGACATCATGCCCATAAGTGGAGAATTTCATAATCTAATTTATATTGCTTCTGATTAAATCTCTCTCTCTCTCTCTCTCTCTCTCAGACCTGCTTCTCCACTGCCCTGTGTCTAACCTAGCCATTTTTGCCCATGCAGTATGAATATGAAGTGCTAATTAATTCAGAAGAGTAATGTTTCACATCAGCTTTGCACAGCTGTAAAGGAACAAGGTAACAGAATCAGACCTAGTCTCTCAGGAATAATGAGCCAGTATCTTTCCAGTCAGCATGGGAAGAAAACAAAAGTCC